ATTTTTAATAAAATAGGTTGTTTTTTAAAATCGGGTTAATAGACGGCCGCTGATTTTGAAATCTTTCTAATAAGAAAAAAAAAAACATACTTCTAATTTATTTTTTTATTTTTTTTGTTATATATAAACAAAATTTATTGATGTTACGGTAAGATTCAACAGATAATACAATGATATAAAAATTGTAATAGCAATATAGATTAGCGAACATTTGGTTCCTACCATGGATTTAAGAGAAATTTGGTACCGGGTATCGGTACTGGTTCCGGTTCTGATCCTCGTATCTCTCTCTCATATGAGTTCGGAATAAGCTGATTTGTTACGCATATTTTCTTCTATGTTGGCTACAAGTTAGACTATGGAATCATATTAATTAGATTAGTATTGGTTGAGTGATAGTGCCTTAAATAAGGGATGTTATTGTTGTTTTTTCAGCAATTTTAAGTTTATGTTGAATTTTTCATCATCTTTGAACTATTATATCTCTCTCATATGATATTAGAATGAGTTTTTTACTTCGTGCATATTCTCTGATGGCTACATGTTAGGCTTTAGAATCACCTTAGTTATTTAACATTGGATGAGTTATACTATTATAGTGTCCTAGAGTTATAATTGTTGTTTTCTTTAGCAATTTTAAGTTTATGTACAGTTTCATCATCTTTGAACTTCCATATTTCTTTCATACGAGCTAATTTTTGTTCGTGCATATTTCCCTTTATATTGTCTACATATTAGGCATCGAAATCACCTTAATTAGATTAGTACTGAATGAGTAACAGTAACAGAGCTTTAAACTTGGCCATTTGGTGCTCTTTCAAAATTCGATACTTACAAGTAATTATCGTAGTACCGGTATCGACATCGACACCGTGACCTACCATTTGGTTTGAGATTTGATACCCTTAATTTGGACATTTTAATTTTCGGTAATTTATGTTCGGTATCAATCTGGTATCACGTTCATCCTTATTTTATTTACATAACAAGGTACACATTATTGTCTATATTTCCATCATATATTTAATAATAAATATCATATGCAGCATATTGATTTATATCTTTTTATCTTATTCTATAACTAGATTTTGATATATTTATAGTTATTACTCTAGAGATCGTCCGTTTATGATTTGTTTAAATTATGGTGGTTATATTGAATATGAAAATGGGTTCATAAACGGACCATTCTACTTTGACTACTTGTATACATTATTATTAATAAAATAAAGTATGAAGAATTTAAAGATTTATGTCACAAGTACAAGTTTTTAGATCTTCTTTATAATTTTGATGTATCATAGCCCAATCCTTTAATTGTACCATTTCTTTAGTCTAATTATGATACAGATAATGACTTTGGACTTATGAACCCAGCTCATAATATAGATAAAATTGCAATAATGGTTCCTATGGTTAGGTAAAAATTACCATTTTGGTCCAAATATGTTTGAACTAAGACCAGAGGTCCAAATGTTTCATTTTCTTGCAAGTTTGATCCAATTTGGTTTGAACTTTTTTATAAAGATGATTTTTACCCTTATTATTTAATTTTCCATTTTTATTTTATTACAGTAATTAAAAAACAATTAAAAATAAAATTTAAATTAAATACCCCTTCCTGTCTTTCTCTCTCTCTTTCAGATGAAGAGGAAGCATATTCTTCAATATTTGAATGGTTCATACTGGTACTACCATATGGCAAAAAAATGAACTCATCTCAAGATAAAATAAATCATCATGGCTAGATTCAAGAACAACACACATACACACACAAAATCCAAATTTCTGGGTTTGCACTTCAACACGCACATACACTCAAGAACACAAAATTTGAATCACATACATACACACGATTATGAATCTTAAACCAATTACATCAAGTCTGAAAAATGATTTTTGAATATGGAAATAAAACATGATTTCATCGCTTGGATCATCATCTCCACCAGAAGCTTGAGATCGCAAAGAGAAAGTACTAGACTCGAGTTCATCTTCCCCTTGTTTCTTCTTTTTTTTCAACATATTCCTCAATTTCGTAGGAGACAGACCTCCTCCCCCACTTCCCTATGAAAATAAAATCAAAATC